ACGTTAGCGTATTTCATTTGTTTATTTGAATAAATTACTTGTCACCCAGTATTTGTTCAAATTGGTATTGATTGATTGTATAAAAATATATATATTTTATCCAAAATTTCATGAAAAAAACATCTTTGATTTAATTCACACTCTTTTAATGAATGGTTATACTCTTAAATTCATATTTTCAACAATAAAAAATAGAATAAAAACCTTGGAAAGTAGAACTAATTTAGATTAAAATCATGAGGACAATAATAACAAATGTGACTCTAATTCGAATTCAAAGAAAAAGTTTTTCACGATACCATATTTAAACAAAGTATCTGAAAAATTTAAAAAACTTTCACATATACATGGTTTTAATATAGCTTATAAACTCATGAATAAAATGAATACATTTATAAAAACTGGAAAAGATCCTTTGCTTAAGGATAACCATCGTGGAGTCTACAAAATAAATTGTTTAAATTGTGAATCTTCTTATGTTGGCCAAACAAAAAGGAAATTAAAAATTCATATAAAAGAACATAAGGCTGACAAAGAAAATCCACTTCTGAGATGTCAGTCGTTTCACGTCACCAGTTGAATGAGATGCATGAATTGGATTGGGATAACATAAGAATTTTAGACACAGAACAATCATTAATGAAAAGAAAAATTTCTGAAATGATATACATTAAAGGCCAAATAAGTGGTATCAATAAGCAAAGTGACACTGAAGGTTTGCCAGATGTTTATCTGCCTCTTCTTAAGAAAGATCTCTCTCACACTTAATAAATAATTCTAGAAATTTCTAAACTTTTGACTTATATATATAAATAGTGGTAAAATATATGATATGACAAATAATAACACACAATGTCACGACAAATTTCCATCTATGCAAAGGATGTACTTGAGATTCATCATTATATTTTTTTGCTGTAAAACGATTCTATTCTTACACATTTCGATTAGAAGATATTAATGATACGCAAATTTGTTAAATTAGAATCTGGAAATTCTCGTTCTACACTTTTCATGATATGATAATTGGCGATGTAACATTATTGTACGAGGCACCTTCACATATGAAAGAACACGTTTATATATAATTATATCATACGACGGTTGAATTTAATGTCAATCAGTTATATGTAACTCTGCGTTTTAAGAATATTGTGAATTTACTGAAGATGGCCAGATTGTGGTCTAATGTTTTAATTAATGTAATGATAATTAAATATCACAAACTATAACTTGTGCGGTGGTTTTTTATGCTCTTCTTTTCATACGTTTTAAAAATATATATATTATATATATTTTATATTTTATATATATATATATATATATATATATATAAATTTATGTGTCTGAATCATTCTATCGTTCGTGTATGCGATAGTTGTAAACATGTATGGCGATTTGTGGGACATACTCATGACGATTATTGGGCAAACCGTTATGGCGGCATACCGATAACTCGTACATTTGCGCCTTCTAATTTTTACGAAGGATTTTCTCAACAACGGTAAGTATAAGAATTTTTTATTCCTCATAAAAAATTGATTTAAAATAACCTAAAATAACACTCACTTTTCAATCTGAAAAATATAAATCAAGCGTTTTGATTAACGTGACGATTACTGGGCCAACTACTTTAAATATAATATATCTTAGATTAATTGTTTTAAAATGGATAGACTAAGATGGATTAGTGTAATATTTCTTGGACATTATGCAATTATTTGTTGATCGAAAAATATATGAAGCTCGTTATATCGATTATTTATTAATATATTTGATATCTCATTAGTTAAATATATACTATCTGTCTAAAATTTTTCTAATAGGAAAATTCATAAGAAGATATAAATAGAATTATAAGATAGAAATATTCATGAACATTGACATTTACTATATAAGAATATAAATGTACAGTAAAGATATTATTTCTTATATTTTTATACAAGTTTATAACAAGAAAATAGTTAATGAAAATATTATAATATTATTTAATGCAATATTAGTTATAAATTAAAAAATATTTTCTCTTTCTCAAATATTTTCTTAATAAAATTTAACATCGTCTGCATTCTCTGTGTATCTCTTTCCAAGATTAAATAACGTATAAATGGCAAAAAGCATAATACTTAAAAATGTTTATTATATATATTAATTTTTATTATACGCTAATTTTATCCTAATTTTGTAGTCTATCCATTCATATATATTGCCATATAT